CAAGTTGCGTGTAGCTTTTTCTTTTTTTTTTTTTTTTTTTTTTCATCCATTGATCTCGGGACATTATTTATTTCGCTGCCCTCCGGCGTCTCGGATTTTTTAATTGACTCTTGTTCACCCGAAGCCGATTGCGCAATCTCTCCGTACGATTTTTNTTTTTTTTTTTTTTTTTTTTTTTTTTTTTTTTTTTTTTTGCTAACGAAACTTTATCTATGACGGGTGAGCTAGTGGAATATTTCTCGAAAGTAGTTCCGTTTTTTGTTTCGATTTCAATACCATCCGCGAAGGAATTACGTGCGATGTATATATATCTATATATTCTTAATGTCGCCTAACGTCGTCTAAAATCCAAGTGATCCACAAGCGATAAAAATCACGCCAATCCAACTTTCCGCGAAATAAAAGCCAATCAAAGTTGTAAATTTAAAACTTGTAATGGCAAAAGTCAATGCAACTGTTAACGATCCCCATTACGCGCCAAAGTCCACTAATGGCCGATAATGGTAAGTGTCGTTAAAAACTTTTCAAAGTGACTCGCTGCAATGTTATCGTCAACGAGATCGGAATATTAGGGTTTCAGAGACCCATTGCGGAGTGTAAAAAATCACTCCAACTTTCACTCTGCGCGCGCCGAAGATACACATTTGCAAAAATTAATGCCGATGAGTAACACATCGAATAATCCGCATCTCATTGCATAAGCTGGTGCATAAAACGTATACCGGAAGCAGGTCGATGAAGCACTGCAGCGCGAGGCGTCGTTAACAGTTCAACGTAATCTATAGGCGCGATGGAGTCATGCAAGGAGATGATAAACAAAAGTGCTCTCGATCGCAGAGGGGTGCTAATGAAGTTGAGGGAAAAAAAAAAAAAAAAAAAAGAAACTATAGTAATCGCACGGATAGTGGCTTTTGGAAGATTGAGGCCAAGACCATCGCTATGTACTAAGTAGGTGTTTTTTCTTCCTGTGCACTTATACCAATATACCGAGTAGAGAAATTGAGTGAGAGTAAAATAAAAAAAAAAAAATAAATAAAAAAATGACGTGCACGTGTATCAGTGCAAGGACACGCACGTCCATCTCCCAAACGAGACAGGTCACCTCGTGCGCGTGAATTCGCCACACGCCTTATATTATCCAATAGGTATAGGATTCGATGTAAAATCAATAAAGGTGTCCCGTACGTTTCCTCAAGCACGTATACGACTCGCTATAAAACAAATTCGCCAAGAAGAGGTAACGTGATTTCGATGCCGCACGCCGTATAATTATGTTACCAGTGGGTATATATATTTATATTTATACCTTTTAATGAAAATCACCGTGACTAGAGCGCTTGGTGGCAAGTACACAGGGCTCTGGAGTATTCCCCGTCGGTTGGTCCACTTGGTATAGGTACACCGTGCAATATTATTGGGTTTCGGTAATACCCTATATATACGCATTGCGTGGCCGAGAGCCGCCCCTCCGTCGGATGGCCAATTTCAATTTGCAAACACGAACGAACGGGAGAAATTGAGAGCAGCGCTTTGTTTGACGCAATTTCGCAGGGTGGTTTGTGCGCGCGAGGGACCACAGCGTGCCGAACTGTGCCTCTGATACTTATACGTGGGACAAAACTGGAAATGGCACTGCAGGTACCTCTGAACTCGTGAAAAACATTGGTTGGCTCGTTTGTTCGAACCAAGGGGCTGTCGGGGGAATTCGCGCGTCTCCCCCCTTTTCGAGAGTCGTGCTCGCAATTACTTTGGGGGTTTTTTTTTCACCGTTTTATCGAAAGAATGTTCATCAGCCCAAGAGCAACTGCTTTGAGGGCTTTGTACATTTTTTTTTTTTTTTAGTTCATCGCTAGAAGGAAAGTGCGAGAGGGTTCTCGGATACCTTTACGAAAAATGCGATGCAGCGTTATCGACCAACCACTGTCACGCATTATATACTTTTCGAATTGATCCATAAGGATGCTTACGCAGTCGAGCCAAACGGTGTTTTTTTCTTTTTTTTTCTTTCGTCTTTTAAGAATATACTTACAGTTAAAAAAAAAAGGTATGCATTTATCTCATAACAACGCTATCGTTCTTCCTGCTCCTGCTATCAGATTCAAGGAGCTGCACGCATAACGCAGCAAATTGAATCGAATTAAATTTTCAACGGCATACGGGTTGTTTTTTATTTTTTTTTCCTCTCGAAGGATAAAATAAAAGACCTACTACTACTATATACATATACATATACGGAGGTCGTTTGTTTGGTTGCTTTTATTTATTTTTTTTTTTTTCCACCTCAACCAACGACTTGACACAGTTTGTCGGTGTCGCGTGTGCGGTGCTTCGGCACATACGTAGCGCTCGTTCATTTTCAACGCGAATCCAATAAAGCACGGCATCAGGTTGGCCTATAATATAATACATACCCGCATGGAACGTATCCGTTATTGTGTCGTCCCGCCTATTTATACCGAAATTTCAATTAGAGTAGCTCTCGTATAGTATAATGTATAGGGCCATCGTTGCGAATAATTAAGATTTTATTAAATCATCAAAAAAATCCCGTCTCACTGGCATATACACACACGTATATACGTAAAATAATAATCGGACACGCGATCAAATGGCCCATTCCATTGTATTTAGCCAAGTTATTGCGTACATCGACAACATCAACCTCGTACACTGCACCCATACCTTATATTCTATATATTTCTCAAGACTCTTCTTATATTCCCCCTCGAGCGTACAACGTTCCATCGGATCTCTCCTGACGCGTGATAGCAGCTGCTATTGCGCACACGACATCGGAGGTAATACACAGGAGCATCAGGCAATTGTTGAAAGCACGCTACTGTCGTATATTGTCACCGCTAGCAGTGCCGCAATCCCCGAGAAATTCAACGATTTCTCAACACGATTTTGGGAAAGACGTTGGGGGGGGGGGGTCGATTAGCGATATAACAAAATAAGAGGACTCTGTCTCCCCCGTTAAGTAGGCGCAATTAGAGAAGTTGCACATATATATACATATGTGTATAATATATATCTGCTTCGCACCAGCCGCACAACTTTCCATTCCGGAGGGCCGATCGTGCGTTTGCACGATTATGGAAGCCACTGAGCAATTCGACGATTAAGTGCGCGGTGAAAAGTGTTGGTTATTTAATTGGGAATGAGAAGAAAAAAAAAAACAGGGGGAAAAATGAGATACGCGCAATGTCTCGGATTGCTCTATAACCCGTGCACGTGTGAAACTAAACACCTTGGAAAAATTCATCACTTTTATGTCCATGGTTGTATACTATCGTATATGTACGTGTATATTTCGGAAACGAGTTCGGAGTCATGGTTTTTCGGCAGTAAGCAGTGTGTAAGGTGAAACAAGGAGTCCCGAGAAAGTACTTATACCCACATGTATTCAGTGTAGCCGAAATCGAGAAACTCACAAAAAAAAAAAAAAAAAAAAAACACTACAACTGGACCATCGTGTATACTTGCGAGGGAGAGAAAAGGAGACGAAAAATCCGGTGGACGCAACCGATTATCCAACAATATTAAGTATATTCGTGCTCGGCAAATATCTCGGTGCAGTTATGTATATGTATGCACGCGTGCGTGCAATACCTTCGTGTACTCATGCGATCGAATCGATGATGCGGAGGAGGGAAGAGGGACCATATACACTACATGTATATATAACCAATCGCGCTCCTTTCTCTTTTTCCGCGGGCACGCATGTCAAGTACCTACTTGTACTGGGCAAAGTGCGAGTACTCGCAGGCGAGTTTAATAATCTGCTACGGCAGCCAAAATTACCAATATGTAATATATATATACAGCTGGACGCCTGCACTTTCACGCCCTTTTGGTTGGGTATGGTGCACCTGGACGACGTTGACGAGTGGGTTTGCACTTGGGGTGGGGGGCGTCGGTCAGTGTTACACCACATTTGGCTCCCTCTCGCTTTCGGCTCGATATCACTCTGCATGCACACTATATACTCTCGGGAGCAAGTGGGCACCGTTGCATGTACTTGGTGCACGCGCGCCGCGAGACACGTGTCCCGATCGCTCGACGGTCAAGTGTTTCGGATACACGCGCATATCGCGTCTTCGTTACTTTTTTCTTAATTTCTTCTATAGTTATTATATATATATTTTTTTTTACAAGGCCGGTTTCAGTGGGTGCATACACAGCAAGTGCCAGTGTAATATACTTGTCCTTCTTTCATACACCCTTTGGGTATATGGATTTACGATTGTTTTAAGGTTCAAATGTGGCCGCGTAGTCTACCATATAGTTGCTAGGTCAGTTGTTTTCTGATGGCATCATTGTCGTGCGCATCTATCAATTGAACGAAGTAAAGCAAAATAACGACTGCACTGTAAATCCAAGCGGCTTAACTCGAATATTTTGTTTTAAAACCATTGGTTTCATGATATACAATACCGTGGTCGTCGCGTCGTATTTCATTTCACGTTATATATTCTAAACGAAATACCAACTGTTAACTATACCACTATTGATGGGAAAACGTACATTGTACGCACAATTGCTTTTTCAACCGCGTAAACGAAAATCCTCGTGTGCATACACAGCTACACCGTTGTTGAAAAATACTCGCAAAGCTGAATAAAAGCTCTTTCGGTTATACCTTCCAATATACATTTACCTATATATAATTCTTTTTTTTTTTTTTTTGTTTGCTACATATACGTACACGCCGAAAACTGCAATGCACAGTAGCGGGTATACCATTAATGAACTTTATTAGCCATAAATTCAATCTGTCCGAGTGCAATTTACGATTCTGGTGAGACTGTCCGAAGCTCGTTACAATAATTGACGAGCTCTTGCAGGAGCTTTAATCCGAGCTTGGCTTCATCACCGGCACGTTTCAGAGTCCGGAAAGCGCCAGCGCCGATGGTCCGAGCTACCCGCAAGATTGTTCATTCACGCGTGCACGCATATAAGTAGGGACGTGGTGGAAAAAAAAGGGACATTTGTATAAGATGACGCAGGTAAGAGGAGGGGAAGCGAAGGCAGTGACGGCGTTGATCCTCGGCTGGCTGGCTCTGATGGTGGATCCCCGCGCTTCTTACGCGACAGCGGAAAACGCGAGCACCAACGAGGGTGAGTGTATGCGTAAATACATATATATATATACTCTCGGTTGGCCGCACAAGTTTATCTCCGTTTACCCCCCGCGTGCACATAATACTTATCTCGCTGTACGAAAATCATCCCGCGGATACATTATGTATTTTTAAAGCGCACGTTACGGCATACATCTTATATATATACTAGCGAAGCTACGATATTCACAGAGCTCCGAATTACTCGACGCTCGCGCGACGATAGAGGAGGGTTTGTGCTTTTGTCGATGACCGCGAGATCGAAACACGCATTATCGGGCTAATAATTCCGTACGCCGCAGCCAATGGAAGTCGTTAGCGAACGTAATGGTATGGTAATATATGTATAAAAACTTAGGTATCTCTGCATGGCTGTCCGAAAACGGTCATTAAGTACATGCACGTTACTTGTACATTTGGTATAAGCACATTATAGATTGAACGGCATTCGCAAGCTTGTTTTCTCTTATATACACAAACGAGCCAAAAAAAAAAAAAAAACGAGTCTTAATGCTCACGCACAAACAGCACGTATCATCATACAATATATATATATATACATCATGACATATGCGTATAGAGCGCCACTCCATTCATAAAACTCTCCGAATATATTATGTACATGTATGCATTTAACAGTGTGCACGGCACAAAATCGATAGGTGCAACCTCTCGCTCGGAGCTTGATATCTCCCCTCTCGCGCGAATATTGTTTTCTCCTCTCGTACTTATATCCTCTCTCTGAGCTGACTATTACGTGTATTTATATACAAACTCTGCACGTGCACACGGGTGCATATATATAATATACCAACAACTCACCCTTCCCCTATTTATTTCTCCTCTTTTTTTTTATTATCATTACACAGTGTACGGGAAGCCAAATATGGATAACATTATCTTTGTTACGTTGCACTTTTTTTCAATAATTTAATGTAGAGGCTGCCTGTATCGATAGTGACAGCATATAAAATATCGTGACTCACCGTGGTGGCGGTGGTTTACGTAAAAGGTCGACAGTTATTTAGATTTGTCGTTTCGGTGGCTCGGGAAGCAACTATTTTTGTACGTCAGTCGAGGGAAACGCGAGTATACTTGCCGGACACGTATATATATTTTTTACTTTTTCCTTTCCAAATAAAAGTGTCGCTACAATGATTATTTGTTTGCTCGTGCACGCTGCGACAGATACGAGAAATATGAGAATTCGGTTGATTCGATCGAAGAAGAACAAAGAAACGCTGATTCGAAATCAGTCACGTTTCATTTTGTGCCAAAACGATCGGGTGTTTAACCATATATATTACGCTCGTGCTAATAGTCTCGTTGTTTCCGAGACAATCATGTGGTTTACATAATAATACGGGGGTAACATGTCTCCCCGACAGCGTTTCGTCGGTGATGCTCAATTGACACAAAACGTATACATGGTATTGTAGGTATATACAATAATTATTTTTTACTCAATTAATAAAAGAAAAAAAAAAAAAAAAATTAAATTCATCGCTTCGATATTTATAAAAAGATTAAGTGAAACCTAAATCCATCCAAACAAAGTACGCAGGGCATATTATTAAAATGAAAGAAGAGGGAACCTCGTGTGCCTATACTCATGCATTTTTATATAATACGAGTTTCTTGCGACCATCGTCGCACAACCGAATTCCCAAATGAATTTCGTTCGGAATTTCCGAGCGCAAACAACGCTCCCATGTTACATATATACATATGCTTCTGGCAGAGGCAATATAAAAAAAAAAAAAAAAAAAAAAAAAAAAAAAAAAAAAAAAAAGGAAAAAAAAAAAAAAAAAAAAAGAAACTATAGTAATCGCACGGATAGTGGCTTTTGGAAGATTGAGGCCAAGACCATCGCTATGTACTAAGTAGGTGTTTTNAAAAAAAAAAATTGGAGAAAGACGGAGAGAAAAACCCGGAGGTTCCTCGCCGAATCATTAAAAACGCCCTGCATGTTCTCGCAACACGTATATGTATGTATATCCTTCGTATGTAAGAAAACGAGCCTTCCAAGCTCGATAAGTCAAGCGCGCTCGGTTACTCCATCACGTTCTCTCTCTCCCTTTTTTTTTTTTTTTTTCCTTTCCCGACCGATCGGCGTCGCGATAATACACGCGCAAAAAATAATCTGCACTCATTACCCACACGCGCAAACTCTACGCTGGTAGCGTTTCAATTTTTTGGATTCAGCTGCGTCGCGCTTAGTATATCTATACGCAAAATTATGCGTGCACTTGCAGAGGAATACTACATGCGAGATGTACAAGTCAAAGAGAGCTTGCACCGCCAACATGTATACAACATGTACATGTAAAACGAGCATCGAGCTCTATCTATGTTTAGTAGTGTGTGTGTGTGTGTGTGTGTGTATTTCGAGGAAGTCACCGGTGCTCGTGTCGACGGAGCTAGCGAGAGAGCTTGCGCGGGCGGCAGTGTAGTTTCGCAAGCTCTTTGGCGGAGAAAAATAGAAAAGAGCTTTAGCGTTGGAGAAATGTATGTGACCCTGTCACGATGGGAACTACGAGGTGGGTGCGGGTGAAAACGAGTGCCGGCTACAGCTGCCGGATCGATTGTACATAGTTGTACCGCGAGTGTAATTCCCCCTATCAATCATTCAAGACCAATTGAGCTTCTTCGTTGATTGGAATGTATTTATAGATAGGTCCGACGGAGTTGAACATGACCGTAAAAATAGTATATTTATTTCGATGAAAAAAAAAAAAATAAAAAATAAAAATAGCTTGTAAATTGATATTGCGCGCGTATTTTTTTAGAGCTTGCGTGCCGCTGGATTTTATAAAAACCGATGCCTCGGTTAGTCGAACACGTGGGTGTGATAATCGAGCGTTTATGACCACACAACGGAAAAAAAAGGTGTACCTATATATTGGTATTATGACTCGGTTCGTAAATGCTCGGGGAAGTATAAGGTCACGTGATAATTTATTATGGCCGAAAGGGAGGATACCGTATCGACGTCCTTCTCGCACTTGTAAATCATCACGTATAATATATCACATGTGGCACACGGCAATTTAAAGTTTAATCTGTGCAGCTCCATATTAAACGTGTCTTATTGCACAATTTAGATTCGCACAGTATGGGTACAAAAGGATCATTTTCAATTTCGTTTGTCATAGTTGCAACACGTGCTCCGTGGGTATAAAAAAATTAACAAAGATCGCCGCAAATATTATGTATTGTGTATACGACTTGAGAAACTTTTGACGTAATTATGCAACATATAAATATTGAGTCCAGTATGAAGATGGTGTAGCCATGGAAATGAGCGAGCAAACTTTCTTTTTTTTTTTTTTTTTCTACTCAAAGAAAATTTATTTATACATTCATACGGCAAGTCGAAAAAGTAGGTAAGTACCTAATGTTGTACTCGCATCTGTAATAGTTGACGGCTGGGACGAGAGTTGGCGCCGAGATTGCGGGTTTAATATACTATTTAGGGGACAGAGAGACGGAGCACAACGTGAAAGCCATTCGAGATGGATGGAACGATAGGAGGAAGAAGAAGATATATATATATACCTAAGCAGTACCTACTTAGGCAAAGAGAGAGTACAATATAAGGTATACAGAAGACTATATAATATATACAAGCGCGAGCGAACGAGACGGGGAGAAAAGAAAAGTGTATATATACATATATTTGTACGGACGTAGAGCAGGTATCGTATAGGATGGAAGAGGAGACCGGCCGGCCGTTGGCTTTCTGGCACTGATGGCCGCTGCAGGTTCTATCGTCTATAAATAAAAGCTGGGCAGGGTGGCATGAGGGAAGGGAGAGCAACAACGCGGGAGAGTGTTTGGCCATTTTTCACCGGTACACCTATATACCTCTATACCGATACGTACTTATGCTTGATTGTTTCGAACGTATAACCAACCTTTCCCCCGTATTTTTAGCTCTTGTGCATTTTCTCGTAAATTTCCTCTTTTCCGTGTACATATAGGTACTCCGTTAATATTCATATAAGCTCTCGAGCTTTTTTTCACTTTCGTTACGTAATCGTGTCATTATCAAGCCGGGTGTGTGTTCATTGCAACTGTCGCCGTGACACTGCAACGTATATAATATTATGTTATATACAGGCAGGCACAACTTTCTCGTCAAGTTGAGATTAACGGGTGCCGAAACAGGTTTCGCGCTCGTGCAGACTTTGTAGCTGTACCTGATGGGCGTTTTAAAATACAAAAGAAAAAAGTTTTTGTAGCAAATGATTATCTTTCCATGTGGACTGTAAAATACGAAGTAAAATCATAAGGGATAATATAATTGGTCGAGCCGGCGACGAGCACCTGTCACTGGAGCTCCCGCGCAACAACAGATATATGTGTTTATCGGAGCGGCTCTGACATAAGGAGATATTATATACAAGCGCAATCTAATGATGGAGGAAAAAAAAAAAAAAACAACAACAATAGCAGTCTATAGGTACTCTCGGTCTTCCTCGATCCCGTCTATTCTATATAATGTAAATTACACAATTCAATGAAACCGAGTGTCTCCCCGGGCGGTATATAGATTACCTATACGTGCATTGGCGCCACTTTGAATTTCATTGCCACTGACAGAGCACTCGCAGCCTCGAAAATCTCTCTGTCTGTAACAGTGCAACACCCACAGATATAACTTTGTGTATGTGCAACGACAAGAGACAAAAGGCGCCTCTCGAACACCTACGCAGCAGTCAGTGGCAGCCATTGTATATACATACTGACCGTCGGACCAAGAGGGCTCTCGCGAGTCTTCTCTTTTGATTTCGGAACTATCTCTGGCTCTCTTAAAACGGATTACCCCGAGGCACCTCTCGCGGTGTATGTAATATATTAGGGTGCTCAACGTAAACTTTCGCTGGTTTCCGCGACATATAGGTACACATATATACCGCCACTGCTGCTCATCCGCGGAGTTTGGCTTTGTTTGTTCGCAAAGGTATATAGGTGTACCAACACAATGGAAAAGCGACTGCATGGGCGGGTGTTTCCCTAAACCAGTGTGTAAAAGTACTTGCAGGTACTTTCCGCGAAAGCTTGTTTGCCGCGGCGTTGCGCTATTTTGTGTAAGCTATATATACTCGCGACAGGGGCTTTTTTTTTCCTTGCAACAACCAATAGTTACACTTTTGCGACATGACGTGGTCAAACGCCAAGTCATAGAAGTACTTTTGATACTACTTTTTTTTTTGTGACTCATACTCGAGGAGAGGGGGACAATAACCCAATACGAGTTTTAAGTACTGCACGTGGAGAAACAAAAAATTTTCTCCATGGCCGGTGTGGGTGTATTGGAGGCTTTACGTAACCGAGTCACGCACCGCCTGGAAATCGTGTGTACGCCATCCCTCATAGTGCCACGGCTATACGGGCATGTATGCACGTATATAGGCATGGAAGGACGTTTGTGTGTTACAGTGGCAAAGACGAAGAAACCATAGGAAAAAAAAAAAAAAAAAGTTGGGCCAAACAAGGAATAGAACGCCTCGACCCTTTGTCACTTACGTGCGAGGGGGAGAGAAAAAAACACGGTGGAGGTAAGTATATATACACACGAAACAGAAGGGAGAAAGAAAAGGCGTAGAATCACGACGAGACGGAAGAAAAAGCTAATAAGTGTATCTTGCTCTAGTACTCCTACACAGCTGTACGTAAGGTATCGATGGGTAGAACAAAAAAAAAAGACCTTCTTCGATTTCACGATGACGGAGACGACGTATATATACGTGTGCATGTACGGTATACGGATGAAGCGATTGTAAGTCAAGGGCTCGGAGCCATCGCGTAAGAAGCTCGAGTGGGCATGTAACTATGCACGGGTACGTACGAGCGATTCCACGAAAAATTATCAACTACTTACGTTCTTCTACTTTTTTACTTTTTCGCGATTTTGTAAATTTGGCTCTATGTCAATATGACTTTTTAAATAATAAATGACACGAGCTCCCAAATGATAATTGAGTCCAATGAAAAACGTATACGTATCGGCAGATCAAAAGTTTACAATTGGCCAAGTCAGTAAATCACCCGTACCCTCGCAGACCGGGACACTGTTTTTAAACTTAATTATAAACGAGACGGACTATTTTTATAGCATATTACGACTCAAGGGAAGAAAGTATTTACACGTACTTTTTTTTTTAATTTTTTAAATTTTTTTTTATACTCGTGCACACTGTTTTTGTTTTTAACGTAAAGTGTCTGAGGTAAAGCTGAATATTGGGTGTATAAAGACTCGTTCGAATGTCTATATACATATTACCACTGTTGCTGCGTGCACCGCATGTGCCAAGCCAACCAGAGTCAAGAACCTCCCCGAGAGGATGCGTCGACGTCATCTTTGTCACTTCGCGTTATCTTATATGTATGTATATGTATAGATGCGCACAAGAGCAGAGAGAGCCAACACTTTGGTCGCTCTCCAGCATCTGGCTGCTATAGTGGTATATGTGCGCCCGTGCGAAATGACTAGATATATACGTATATACCGCCATCACCTTGGATCTTGGGGTTTCGCAACTCGTAACCGAGAGTATGATTATACTTATGGTGATGGTTGGCCGCACGTATAAACGCCACTCATATATATATATCCATCTTGTATACCTATATACACACAGTAAGTACGTGTAGTCTCAACTCTTATCATTAAACTTGCAGTCGTGAACTCTTAGGTTCTTTGTGCGCGTTGCGCTTACCTATGCCTGTGGCATATACATACGCGCTAAGCTTACCCTATAAGCTACCTGCAGGTATGCGAGCTGGATGCGTAATAACGTAAAAGCAAGCGTTAGAATTTTAATCAATGTATACAAGCGAGTGCCGCAGCTCCTGGTATTTACGAACGATCATTCATTGAGAGACGGTCTTTCAATTAACGAAACTTTCTGGAGTGACGTTTTTTTTGCAAATTTCAAAATTCATCTGACGTCGCTTGGTTTGATCGTCAGTCCTCGTGCGCGCTGAAAATTCAAGGGAGAAGCCCATTTCCTTACTTCAGCACGCGCGCGTAATTCGTATAGTTTCGAAAAATCTGGGTTGCCTCCCTCCTCCGTCCAACAGTTTAACGGGACTTTACAGTCACGAGACGCAGTCTATTAGCAAACTTCTCGCGTGACACCCCAACCGACTAACTTTTAATCACAAAAGAGGATGTTTCAGCCGAGGAAGTTGCAGTCTGTCTTGGTAATTCATTTTAGTGCAAATGTTCTCCGAGTATACATTAATTTAACCAATTCGTTTTTATCGTTAAAGACGATAAAAAAATCTACAATGTCTAAATATGAGTATCCATATATGTTTCTTCGTGACATTAGGGTGTATTTTAGCTAATACTCTTTACGGAAACATTATATATATATATATATGTTAGGTCCGCCTTTACCAGGTTGTACCTATATAATCAATCTCCTTCGTCTTGTCCTTCGTCCAGAAATGCAAGGTTGCCGGAGTTGCCGCACACTAAACGAGAGTCCGTATTTAGAGTGGATATATGTATATAATGTACGTCTGCGCCAAGAACAGGATTAAAAGCCACGGTAATTAATGGCTGCGGCAAACCGAAGTTGAATCGGGAGCGCGTCGTTTTTGCTTTAACGACGCGAGTAGACTCGTAAAAGCTACTCTTGACGATGTGATGATGGTATACGTGTACGTCGCCCACCTTTACATATACACACATATATATATATTTGTATGGAGATCTACATACCAACGTTATCGGGCTTTCTCTCATAATTTTTTTTTTTTTTTTATTTTTCCTTCAATTTTTCAAAATATTGCACTTGACCATAGAACTGCATCTATAAATTCTTCGCACGCGGTATACGGTAGACGAATGTTGTAAGATAATTGTGCGGCATTCACTGGATTTCTTCAGTCCCGTTCATAATACTATACACTGTATGGACTGCAAAATGTTTGCAACCAAAGTTGAACGACACTGCAGGCTACATAAATTTTACATACCTACAATCGTAAAATGTACTTCTGGACACGGAAAGTAATAAAGCCTCGAGATTGTTGTGCACTACCATAACCATTTGTGGTCATAAAGTGACAAAGCCTTTATTTTCCCCTTCATTTTTGCACTATGTGCACATTCAACATCTTTGTACCCAACTCCGTTGGGAGGATTGTCACCACCGCTCGACAATTAGTCCAATCCTGTTTACGAAGCTCCGTAGATTCCATACATGTGTGGATTGTCGCGCGCGTCAAATCATGCAAATTAAACGGCGATGCGAAATCGTTAGCGTCGACGATATCCCATTACAGCGCCGATGCTCCCCACGGAATTCTAGCGCTGTTGCTGTATAATACACACGACAACCTTGGGGGGCTACGTTCCAGCTCAAAATCAATGCTATACACGCCTATATATGCACCGACCCCGCACACGTAATAACGTCCCCAGGGGTATGTATGTTACATTATGTACGTTGGTACAGCTGCCCCGCTAAGTTAACGAACTCGATATAGACCGCACATTGACATCAAGAGATGTATATATACATATACATATACCCACCGTATGTACACGAGCAGATTCGATCGTCGATCGAGTGCGAATACGGGGAGAGCTGGTTCGCTAAAAAGTACGTCAGTTAGTATCGGCAGAGAGTTGCGTAAGTCGAAGTGGGTACAATATATGGGGCTACTTAGACTGCACCAACTTTACGTGTATTTGTACGAGGAGATAATAATATTATCTCTTGATGGGCGATTGTGCGTGTGTATATGTACGCGAGAAAGAACATTTTTTTTTTTAAATGAAAGAGTTTTTACACGGTGGTATACTCGAGAAACCAACTTTTTTTTTCTGCTTCTTCTTCTTCTTCTTCATTGTGGGGGTCCGTCATCGGCTTTTAAAAATACCCGCGTTACTCGTGCCTTATATGTTGTTGGGTCTACATCATATTTATATCGGAGGATAAACGGTGTGTGCCGATTAGAATTTTTTTTTTGAAAGCCATTGAATAAAGGAAAAAAAAAAAAAATACATGCATTTGTTTTTTGGAACTAAATGTAAAAAGTTTCACGATTAATTCTCACGTTGCAGTGCTGCCGTACCTACTGGGCTCAAAGTCGGCGACAGGGAGCGCGTCGTCAACGGAGGTGGAGGACACGGGGAGGGTGATCGTTTGCCCGAACGATCCCCCGAACACCCTGTCGCGTCTTCTCGGCGTCATTTGCGAGAAGAGCTCCGACTGCCACTTCCTCGGGGCGGACCAGCGCTGCTGCAAGGGCGTTTGCAGGCGCGGCGTGGAGGCTCCCATCTACGAGCCGCCGCACGGAGGTGAGGAAGCTAAAACACGCCTATTTCGTCCCCCGCCCTTATCCAATATCGATATCGTTTCGACGAGGGGGAAAAAAAAAATTTGCGTTTTTTTTTTACAACTGATCGAACCAAAAGTATACACGTGACTTGGTAAGGGTTTCTATAAATATCGCTGACTACGGGTTTGATAATGAATTTTGTTTAATGAAGCTATAAATGCGAGGATGCGTGTTTGAGGATGTAGGCCATGAAATGCTGTGGGAGACGATAAGAGGGACGAAAGGGTTGAAACAACATAATATAGATACGAAACAGGTGAAAGGAGAAAAAGAGTTTAGAGCCTTATCTCGCGCCAACTCGTCGTCGAGGCTTTTATGTATGACCAAACCCATGGGTATGTATAAGCTGTTGTGGACATTTTGGACTCACGAGGGTGGGTTACTCATTGAAGCATTCTATGGGAAAAACGAAGATATTTCTGGACTAACGTTTTCTTGTGAGTGTGGGAATATTTAATGAGTCACAAAATATATCAAATCATATCAATATATCATATCGTGCGATTTCCAATGATTACGAAGATTTGCACGACACACTGTGATTTTCCATACGCGTAAGTAAGTAGTGCATAAAAACTTGCCACTTACAGCATCGCAAGTTTTTTTTCATACTATGAATATTTATCCATCTTTACTGCGCTTGGATATCATTATTGTATTAACGATTTGGATGCACGTACTCTATTACTTAGGAATACATATGTATAGGTATATCATCTACATATTATGATCGTGTTGCATCATTTACTCAATAAATGTTTGCTTATACAGAGGTGCCCCGTACCTCTGAGAGTCTGATTCGAGTATATAGGTGTCAACTCGAAAACGAACTACTTACTGTTTTTTAACCGCCCAACGCCTTTTTCTTGCCCCACAGCAAGTCATGTTTTCGATCGACCCTAAGTAGACGTACACTCATACGTACAAACGCAATGATTTAAAATTTTTCCATTTATATATGTATATTGACCGCGTGGAAAAAAAGTAATCGCTCGTGCCACACAAGCGGATAGGAAAACGTACAAGACAACCATTTGGACACGCGACTCTAAAAAGTATTGTATGGTATATGATATATATATGTACTGTACTCGTCATTTACGAAGAGTAAATCTCGCTCGGTATAAGGCAATCGTATATAAAACGGGTGAAGGGGAGCGGGAGGAGGAGATAATAATCCAGCCAGCCTCAAACCCACGCGAACCGATGGCCCCCGCGTTAATTAATTGATTATTCCACGGACGCTCCTACACCATATGCGTATTAAGTAGTATGTGGGCAAGTACTGCACATTATATTATCTTGCAGATGAAATAAAAACTGGTACGAATAGGATTGTCGCGTTACTTTGGTATAATTTCGATACGGAGCAACGCTAACGGACACTTTCGACTTTGGCTCTCAGTGGGCCCTGTGTTATTTTACCCGTAAAAAAAAGGGGGAGGAGGGGTTATTAATTGTACAGGTATACATGTACACGCGTACACTTACATAGCAAGGGAGCTCTCGAGGCGCGTTATCGATCATATCGCTGCCCGCTGTGAACTCGTGCTCGTGCATATATAATACACGAGGGCAGCCACTTGCCGTGTAAATATATAATAGCTTAGGTAAAAAAACTCCTCTATCCTTCCTTTTTTTTTCTCCTCCCTCGTTTTTTGGCACGAAAGCCACAGTTTCGTCCACTGCTATCTCCCCTCCTTGATGTTTTACAATTGAGACGGGCGAACCCGGGCGTTTATCCTGCTTCTCGAGCCGAGTTTTATACGTAATGGGCACTCGAGAGACGATCGCTCCAGATAAGTATATGTCATCGGTCTGTCGAGCTCTTATAGAAAGACGCTCGACACACATATCTGATGCAGTCAAGTACATAATATTGTGATGCATGGCAATTCTTTGCGGTTGACATTTTTTTTTTTTTTTTTATTTCGCTTTATTACTTACAATATGAGCGCGTGTTTGTCGTGGCTCACATGTGTATAGGTATAACATCTCTGGCTGATAAATCTTATCTGTTCGGTCTGTGTGTGTTTATTTCTCGTTGAGAATGAGCGAGAGTTACTCCCTCTCTCGTGTAAAGTATACTTATCGGAGAGATTCACGTTTTCACCGGCATCGTTGAGTTGGGAACAACGGCCCCAACAGCCATACCAGAGTGCTCCCTCCTTTTTCTCATTTATTTTTTAAATATCACGTGAATCTTTTCCTTTTTTTCTTTATTCATACGTGTTTTTTTCGTTAACATCAAATATATATTTCGCAGGCATAAATATATAATTGCTCAATGTAAGTGCGAAGCACATAAGAAAGCGAAACTACCACTATGATTTCTTTATTCTTTTCTCCCATTGTGTACAATATCGGCATAGCCAGCGCGACTTGTATATATATATATATATATATATATATATACATATACATGTGCCACACGCGCTCGTTCGAACGATTTAACCTCCCTTTTGCTCTTCGAAAACATCTTTTATTGAGCGAATCACGTGTTATAGGTATACCCACTGTGTTGGAAAAATTGCCACTGAAGGATAAATATAATTATGCAAAGACCCCGATAGTTGCATGTAATATATTTATGCATATTGCGCGTGTATGTTAATAAGTGCATAACACCTACGCTCGCCTTGGAAATTGAGAATCAGTCCTTCTCACTTGCGGAATCAAATTAAGGTCTGATGTACACTGTACAAGTCATCTTAAGTGACATCGATGCGAAATGAGAGATACTGGAACCATACAGAGATTACATGAACGAGAAGCCAACAACCATTCCGACCTTATTCGAGTAATTTTACCAACATGGTTATCATATAAATATACAATCTCCATTTACCTAAAACGACGTAGAATTGCTATTGAAGCACAAAGATCTTGCGAAAGCTGATTTATATAAAGAAAAATTACGAATGTTAATATATATATATATACACACTTTTAAGTAACATCTCCAAGCCCCTGATACACCTATACTAAAAGACTTGGGTTGGAGCGATAAAGAAAAGAAAAGGAAAAACTCGGAATGAAACAATGATCGCTTATCTGCATCGATTGTATAGATGCATATAGATGGATAGTGTGTCCCATATATATTGTGTGAGTGCAAAGGAGACAAGTATATTTTACAATTTAAACGAAACGCAATCGTAAATACGATACGAAACTTTTTTTTTGTTGATCGAGAAAATTGCATTTGCGCGTAATAGCAGTATGTAAGTTTATTGTATCCCGATTGAGTATATAAGAGAAAAACCACTTTTGTCGATAAATCGCTAGAGAAATGACGATTTGGGGAAGCAAGCAAGATAGGCATATATACGTGTATATAAAATATACTATAACAACACATAATGTGCTATATACTTGCAAAAACTTTCCAGCCGTGCGGTGCGTGACCGCATGATAAAGATATCGACCGTTGAGTTCCGAATGAAATTAACATGATTTAACGCTGCTCTATAATTACATATACACGTCAATTTACAAATACGCTCTATTGTGTTTTATATACGTATTATGTATGTATGTATGTTGGCGCGCGCGATGGCCTTCACGGCGTTTACGACCTACTATTGCGTTATGTGCCATCCAAAAGTCCGAAAAATATGGACAAAATTGCAATGATCATTTTTATTGTAAGCCAACTGTGAAATTTGGGGTGTCCAATGGAGTCGATATCGGAGATACAATGGGCGCATCTGGGGCACGAAAAGATCCTGCACGAGCGGCTTCTTCCTTTGTCTCGGGAAACCGGTGTATACCCACAACTCCCCCCTGCCCGATACACCTATACAGATGTGGTAGTACACACAGCTCTATGTATTCTAAATCCACGGGCGCGCGCAAATACGGACAAAGACGTGCACGCGGGTTCTCTTGCATGCGCTTGCCGTGGAAATATGGGTGTACTTACCTATCGATCGAAGACTCGCGAGAGCTGTGCCTGCACTGCCTCGACTCAACACCTATAGCACTCACCTCTAAATCTTTCCTCATCGCGGAACGTGTACTTGATGTGTGATTGCTCCGATGCGCCAAGTGTCACTTAATCATAAGCAGCTTGATTTGCTGCTCATACTGTTCAAAAGTACATGATAAGGACAATAGCTTTCCCGATTGTGAGTTGATCAGGTGATGTTACAGCGATGACATCCGTAATTGTATGGTTAATTTTGAGCTCACGAAAGTAGGTTAAACTATATATGACTTGGCTCTAAAACAACAGCGATAAGGAAATACCCGTTTTAAACTTATTGTTTTGCTCGTGTAGTTTTTTTTTTTTTTTTTTTTTTTTCCCAAGTGCTTTGCACATTCTTTACTCGCTCGAATTTTTCAATAAACCAGCGTGTTCAATTGAAATTACCCAGTGTTTTGTATTAGTTTGGGAAACCGTCAAGTATAGATGGCTCGATGAATTTTTACAAAGCCATAGAATTATTGTGTAGTAGGGATACAGTTTGAAAAGAGCAGATGAATAAAGTAAAATAATCATATGCTAAAGCGATCACTGTCAATGGCACACTTATACCTACTTATCTACCTATGCCCTGGAAACGCGCTTATTATTCACTCGCATTATGGTATATATACCTACTCGTGGTAGAGGCAATCCGCTTCATATGTTTATACTAAATACATCATACATATATACCTTATATACGTACAGTGTTGCTGAAAAGTATAGTAGTTTTCTAGCGCTCGTTAGATAACGTGACAAACTGTGTCTTGGTACTTTTATTTATCACGTACACCTACTTTTCGCGATTGACTATAGTGTCAAGGTAAAATTATAGCAATATATATTATGTATGTACCAAAAGGATCAGAGCGCTGTACCGAAAGCGAGAATAGCTATGTGGTAATAAAATTCAGTTTTACTCTCTCTCGAATCTTGTTCGCATCATTTGTTTTTTTTTTTTTTTTTCTTCCGGAGGGATACTTACTTAC